CATTTTTCAGGCACTTTATTTGGCCTTTCTATAGCCTGACATGGTGAAGTCCTATCCTGAAATTTATTCCTCTCTCAACTTCTCAGACACTAGAATCTCACTCCTGCCACTGACTCCCTTCTTCTCCATCTCTTTTTTTTTTTTTTTTTTTTGGTACCAGGGATCAAACTCTGGACCTTATGCTTGTAAGGCAGGTGCCGGAACCACTGAGCTAAATCCACCTCTTTCCCTCTGCCCTCTCCCCACACACCATTTTCCAATCCCCTCCTTCAATTCCATGCCACCTATTTCAGTCTTACTCTAATCATTCCAGTGGGTGGTCCCACCTACTTTTTTTTTTGGTACCTGGGATTGAACTCAGGACCTTGTGCTTGTGAGGCAGGCATTGGCACCACTGAGCTAAATCCCTGGCCCCTAACCTACTTTTTTTTAACACCTTCATTGAGATACAACTGACAGCCAGGCGTGGTGGCACACACCTGTGATCCCAGCACTTAGGAGGCTGAAGCACGAGGATCACTGTGAGTTCAAGGCCAGCCTGGGCTACACAGAGTTCAAGGCCATCCTGGACTACATAGTGAGATCCTGCCCTGTCCCTGCCCCATAAAGAGATAAACTGCACATTTCTAAACTGTATGATCTGACAAATTCTAGTATATGTTCACACCCCTAAAACCATCAGCACAATAAAAATGAAGGAACATAAAAGACTCTATTTAAAACAGTGATTTACCTTAGCTCTTATTTTATAGAACTGTACACAAATGGAATGATACATTCTATACTCTTTTTTGGTTTGGCTCCTTTCCACTAAATTTGAGATGTAGCCACGTTGTCTATCAGCACTTCACTCCTTCTTATGCCACTGTGTGGCTATATCACAATAAGCTTATTCACTCCCTCACTGGTGGACATTTGGGCTATTTCTAGTTCTTGGCTGAAGAGAGCTTCCACGAACACTGATGTGTATGTCTTTACAGATACAGGCTGTATCCACACTTATAGCTTTGTCCAGAAGTTCCAAATCTACTTCATTAGATATCAACAGTGGACTGCAACTTGAACCAGTATACCTGGATAAACAAAGGGACTTTTATCAGTATACCAAAGTCATCTTATTATGCCACTACTCTCAATTCCAAAGCCTTTTCTCCTAAGATTCTCTTGCCTGACTAATGCATACAAACCAGAAATAACTCTTCCTGCTTAAGTTTTCCCGATCACTTAGTGAAGTCCTGTCAATTCTGCCTTTTAAACATCTCTCAAATACAATCCATCTCCACATTTCCATCCTAGTTTAAATGTACTCATAATTCAAATGCATATTGTTTTAGCTGGACTATTAATCAAGCTTTCTAACTTTTCTCCTTACTTCAGGTCTTTCAAACTCATTTTCCATTGTATGAACAAAGTGAATTTTCTAAATTCATATCCGGTGTCACTTTCTTATTTAAAACTCCTCAGTGGCTTCTATCCAAGATAAAATTTGAGCTCCTCAGCTTAACATACAAGAAAAATTGTCTATTAATACTACCCAGACTCACCCTAACATTTCCCATCCTGTTCTTAGTTTTTGTTTTTTCTGATTATGTCATTTACCTCTTTATTCTCAGTGCCAAAGACAGTATTTAGTCTGAGGTAGACATGGTACACTGCTGGGATAAATAAAATAAAGCTTACACTGACAGATGCAGTGCGAGAGCTGCAGTAGGCCATTCTGAATATATTCAAAAAAGTAGCAGTCCTGCCTGGCAACAGTATAAAGAACAGGACAGATCATGGTAGGGAACCAAGTCAGAAGATCAGTATGAAACCAGATCATCATCAATCACCATCACTACCTCCATCCTAACAACTGTGCACTGTACTTTAGCTTATGTTAAGCTCAAAAGACATTAGAGTGTGACATATTCCAAAGTGTACCGAAACTTCTAAAATTTGGAAAACAGATAAAGGCATGCAGGGAGTTAGGAAGCTATTGCATTATGTGGGAAAGGGAACTCAGTTACATCAACTGGAGAAGGGAACAGATTAGAAAAACATGTCAAAAGGGGAACAAACACATAGGCTTTGCCTGAATGTGGGTAATAATGCACACAGAAGTCAGAGATGAATGAAAACTCTTGAACCAGTCAAATAAAATACTAAAGCTATTAATCAAAAAGAAATTTAAAAACTGGTACGTGAAGGGAAGAAAGACTATAGTTTTAATTTAAGTATTCTTTTATCCATTTACTAAAATTGAGCGCCGAATAGATGTCAGGCACTGTGTTCACTGGGAATAAAACAAAAGCAGGGTATTATTTCTGTTCTCAAGAAGCATTCAGTCTCGTTGGAGGAGAGGTAGGGAACAGACAAGTAAATCAGAACTTAACACTTATTGCCAAGAAATAACTATAGGGACACCTGCATACTCATGTTTATTGGAGCACAGTTCACAATAGCCAAGATGTAGAAGCAGCCCAGGTGCCCATTAGCAGATGAATGGATGAAGAAGATGTAGTAATATATACATATATACACAATGGGATATTACTCAAACATAAAGAAGAGTGAAATTATGTCATCTGCAGGAAAATGAATGGAACTGGAGATCATCATGTTAAGAGAAATAAGCCATTTCAGAACAAGTATCACATGTTCTCCCTAATATGCGGAATTTAAAACAGATGACATGAAAGTAGAAGGGAGACTGTTACTAGATGAAGTGAAGGGAATAAGGGAGAGGGGGTGTAAGGGTCATTAATGGGGGATGAACGTGATCAAAATATTACATGCATGTATGAAAATACCACTCTGAAACCCAGTATCTTATAAAACGAATAGGCACTAATAAAAATATATTTTAAAAATAAAAACCTTTAAGAATTCACTGCTAAGAGTTAGGATAGGGGGCTAAAAGAAAACTTAGCCCTGAGAAACCAAAAAAAGCTCTGCAGTGAGTCCCAGAGAATAAGCAGTGCTAGGCCAGGCAAAGAAGGGCATTTCAGGTGAAAGGAACAGCATGCCCAAAGAGCCTCGGGTAAGAGAACACAAGCTGGGCACCTCTACAAGCAGTCTAATAACAAGTCTGAAGGAAGCATTCAAGATATGGAGATATACACATGAAATGCCCAGCAGGCAGGTGAAAATGCAGGTTCCAAGCTACCAACAGCAAATTCAGATAGGAAATATATTTTCAAACTTGTCTTAAAATCACTGTTGGTGGATATCCTACTAGGCAGCTAGTGTATATGTCTATCTCCTTCCATCACTTTTGCTTAAGGTCAAAGCCTGAGCTATGTAAATAAGCAAAGAACACTAGTGGGACCACACTAAGTTGGTGATGCATTCCTTGTCTAAAGACAGTAGCTATTTACTCAACTTTAGTTATTGCCTTGCTTGAATGTCGGCTCTATGTGGAAATTTTTCTACTCTTTAAACTGAAAATTCAGATTTTACATAAAATTTCCCATTTTTAAATACTGGCAATTACATTTAAAAGTAAACCAACACTGTGACAGCCAGACAAAATGTGTCTGTGGACAAATTTCTACAAGGGACACCCATGTAGCAATTAGACCAGGGCTGCTAAGTCCTACACTGCTTTTCCCACTACTTCAAAGGATATTCAACTGGTATCTTGGTGGCTCCCTTGGGATAGGAACTGATTGCTTCTAAGTAAAATGGCCCCAAACTGGTAGTGTTTTTACGAGGCTATTTTTTTGTACATTTAAAAACAAATTTCTGCCTACCATTACCCTGTTAGTACACCAACTTCTAGCATCACTGAGACATATTGCTCCCCTTCTACTACAATCAAAGAAGTTAAGCTTTCAGGTAAAGCAAAAGTAAACACATGGAGTGAGGCCAAGTGGAATTTCTAATGAATAAAGTATGCTATGTGACATTTCTTTGATCTTCTTTAAAAACATCAAAGAAATATTTGCAACTAGTGACACACTATATGTGGGGGGGGGTAATTTAAATATGAAATAGAACAACAAATTACGGTAGCAAACCAAATAGTTTCCATTGTAAGATACCAAGAGGGAGATGGGGAGAACAAGGCAAAAGGGAAAGTAAAAGTTGCTGGCCTTTGAGAAATATCAGGCACCTTTTAAGACATTTTGATAAAGTACAAATGTTTAACAAAGGTACAGCATAGTCTCAATTCTCAGAAGCAAAACTGTATTTTAACCAGCCAGCATAAACAGTCTCTGAGCAAGAAATCAGGATTCAGAAACACTATTAAAAGAGTAAAGCACTCTCTGTAAAAAAGATAAAAGAAAAAAATCTGTTCTTAAATTCAAACACACCAGTACCAGAAGCTTTAATACAGTGTTTACTAAGTCACACTGCTGCTTTAGAAGCTTTTAAAATGTAGCAACATTGCCAATATCAAAACAATGTGGCAAATTTTAAAACACAAATGTTATACATTCTCCACCAAATGCAAGTAACCAAGACTTTCAAGCTCCCTCCCTCCAAATCTGAAAATAGTGGCATTTGCACCAGTAACGGAGGTTGGGGGGAGGGGGTTCAAAAGAGTGCAGCGTTATTACCGAGGGCGAGCAAAGCAAAGCAACGCAAAGCAGGCCTGATTCCTGCTGGCAGGCAAGCTCGCAATTACTTAAAGCAAGCACTATGGCCAGAGCATTCTTGAGCCAGTAACACAAGTGTACTGGACACCTAAGACCGGAGGCTGACAGCAGCTCTGCCTTGAAACCCAGAAGGCGGAAAAGTGGCCTGCTTTGACCTCCACAGAAAACAGCCTCCTCCAACTGTGGTCTGGGAATCAGGGGGCAGCGGATTAACCTCTCAGAGGCGGGATGGTTAGGACAAGCACCGCCAGGCTTCCCGCGCCCTTCCCACCCCCTGGGGTGAATGTCAACACCGGGGGCCAGTCGAGCGCAGGGACCCCAGGGTGCGCGGTCGTGCGGCGGAGCAGCCCCGACCCCGGGAGAAAGCGCCGGCGCCCGCGGGGCTGCAGCGCGAAGCGGGGCTCCGCGCTCTCTCACCTTCTTCAGCGCTGGCACCAGCAGACCCCGCCACTTGGGCGCGTTCTCCTCGCTGAAAAACTCGTAGGGCAGCTGCTGCGCCTGCATGGTGCCCCCGGGGCGCCTTCGGCGGGCGAAGGGGCGGCGGCGGCCGGTCGGGAGCCGCGAGAGGGCGAGCGCGCAGCTCGGAGGAGGGCCGCGGCCCGCGCACGGCCCGGCCCCCTCGGGCGCCGCGCGGCCGCGCTAGCCCCGGAGAAGCAGCTGAGGGGCGAGGCCCGCACCCGGCCACCCACGCGACACCGACCCCTGCACCGGCCGCGGACAGCGAACGCAGCCCGGCGGCGGCGGCGGCGGCATCCCGCACCCCGCCCCGGGGCCAGGCCCCCGCCCGCCGGCGCCGCCCCGGCCGCCCTCCGCCCTCCGCCCTCCGCCGGAGCTGCGCTCCGGGCCCGGCCTGGCCCGCGGAGAGCGGGCGGATGGGGGAGGACACGGAGGGCGCCTCGCCTAGCGGGCACGCGGGGCACAAGAGGCTCCGGGCGGGGCGCAGCCGAGGCCGGGGTCCCGAGGGAGGGGCACGGACCGAGGTCGCGGCCAGGGGATCCGGCTGCCTCAGCCGCCGCCGCCGCTGCCGCCGCCGGTGCAGCGCCGGAGCTTCCTACTAGCGAACTGAACCTGCTCGCTATTGAGCATGCGCCGCCGGGCTGGGCCGGTTCGCTCCGGGTTTTCCGGCTCCCCGGGAAGGAGGCGGGACGGACGCACCGGCCAGGGAGGGCGCCGTCGGCAGTGGCCGCGCTCCTCGGGGCCACAGGGGAGGGGCGAAAGCCCCCGTGAAGGCGACCCTGAGGAGTGGAGCCTGCGAGGCGGGGCTGAGCGCCGCGGCGAAGCCGCTCCCATTGTGTGGTCTGGCCGCTAGGGTCCCCACCTCTCTCTGAGAGCCTCTGGGACCTTGGTTTCGGAAAGGAGGGGGTGTGTGTACGTGCGTGTACTTTGTTCCCCAGCCCGGAGCACGCAATGTGTAGTAAACAGACTGCACAAAAGATACGTTTCCCTCTCACGGAACCTACCGCTCCGTAGCAGAAGTGATTGCAATGTTTCCAATGGGTCTTTCCATATTATCAAGAATAAAAATGTGTACGTGTAGTATTGATTTTGTGTGTGTTCAGATTTAATCTATTCAAACCAGCTTCACTTCAAGTATGAACTCCAAGAAGCACTTACCTCCAGTGAAAATTGAGACCTCTTCTGCAGTTCCCAAATCCCGGAGCGTTTTACCTTTTTTCTTATCAGCCTAAACCTAAGCAGTTCCACGTGTGAGTAGATCTTAGTGCCCTCTCGGCGCACTCACTCTATGGTCTTCTATCTTTCATGGCTCTTTCCACTAGATAATAAACTCCTGGAAGGCAGATCTTTTTCACTATGGGCTGTGCCCACAACAGGGACTTAGAGTTTATGGAATGCTAAAGCAGTATCTATAAATTGTTACTCCATCCTAGAAATGCAGATGTTTGTTTATAACTGTGGCACGTATGGCACAATATGGCACCATGACACCTCAAGGTTTATCATGAAACACTTTCTTAGTAACATCTCATTTAATTCTCATAACAACCCTATTATTTTCATTTCACTGGGGAGCAGGCAGTTTAGAAAACTTAACCTGGGCTGAAGCTGAAATCGTGTCCTGATACAATAACCAAAATCACATAGATGAGAAATGTTTAAGACATGGTTCTTGATCTTTACAGTACCTCTTTGAGAATCTAAATGTATGAGTTTCTGTTTGTTTTTGCTTTTTTATTTTTTGGTACTGGGGATCGAACTCGGGTCCTTCTGCTTGTGAGGCAAGTGGAGGAACCACTGAGCTAAATCCCTGGCCCTGTTTTTGCTTTTTGAGACAGAGTCTCTCTATGTAGCCCAGGCTGGCCTCGAACTCGCTGCGATCCTCCCTCCTCAGCCTTCCAAGTGCTGAGATTACAGGCATGTGCCACCACGTCCGGTAGATTCTTTCCTTTTAAAATGTACACCTGGCATATATGATTCACATTTTTAAAAAAAACTCCCATCGCTTTCAAAATGTTCAAAAGTCACATCTTAAAATCTATCTAAAAACCCTCTGGGTAAGAAGCAATAGCGGAACCATAGCGGAGAGAGGAGTTGAGAGCATGAAAAGGAGCTTCAGAGGAGATGTCAGTCATTTTTAAATGGAAAAATGATTGGTTTGTGTAAGTTCTAAATGAGCCAAGACCAGCCCTCTGCATAAAACTATCCTGTGGCTTCTTATTGTTCCCAGAACACAAGCTTCCTACCATAACTCACGAGGCCGTGTACCTGGCTCCTATTTAGTCTCAACGTTTTCTCACCATCCCCAACCTTGTCACACCTCACTCGGGTCACACTATTACTAGAAAACATGAAGCTCTGTCCTGCCTCGATGGCTTTGCTCTTTTTTCAGTATGGAGCTACTGGCTGTTCCCTTGACTAGTTATTAACTTCATCACCTCCAAGAAACCTTTCACCAGTCTAAGTAGTTCCCTCCGTATGTTTCTATCATACGCCCTGTGCATTTACTTGCTAGCACGGAATCAGTCCTCTAATTTGGTTGTTGGTCTCCCTTCACTAGAATGCAAATGCCAAGAGCTGGAGACAATCTTGTGTATCTAGTTCACGGCCATATCCCCACGACCTACAGTGCCTGCAGAGTACACGGCAGTGTTTTCAAGGGAGCGAAAGTTACATGGAAGAAACTTTCAGGGAGACTACATAATCAAAGTTCCCCCGGACAACATGTCATCTTTCAGGGTGTGCAAGTAAAAGCTACATTCACTGGCTTCTGAATGTCAGGGAGTGTTGAGGGATTGAGACTGTTGACTTCCAAGTTCCCCTTCCAATGAGAATTTCTGATTTAACTGCAGAGAGGAACAAGCCCTAGAATAATGGATTACAGCCTGGGCTGCTCAAGAATCGCGGCCGGGGAAGTTTCATCACTACGCAAGTTTTGAGAAAAGAGAACACGCAGCTGGAGGGAAGCTACCGTGGAGCACCTGAGCCCCCTCTGAACTGTTTGCTTATATCTTTTGGGGCAGAACAAAACATCCGTGAGGTGGGAGCTGGAGAAGATAAGCCAGCCAGCATCAGAAGTGTGGGAGCGGAGGCGCAGATGCCCCCGAGGCCCTCCGCCTATACCCAGTAAGAACGGCGGGCCAAGGCCCCCTAGCGTAGGCTCACAAGCTCCTCCCGGCGACCCTCGGGATCTCGGGAGCCCGGCTCCGGACCGGACGTGACGCACGAGGGCGCGCCCAGACCCACTAGCGGAAGCCCGAGGGGACGTGTCCAGGAGCGGTAGCCGAGTTCCGAGCGTTGGAACGGGGCGGCGGGGGAGGGGCGGGGAGGTTGCGCTGCCCCGCTGTGCCCTCTGGAGGTGGAAGTGCCGTCCTAGCGTTGCTCTCCCTGCAGCCACAATCACCTTGCTGAAGCAAACTTTGGGTGCAGCTACTTAGTTTCCTGTTCCACTGGCGGTTACCAGGATAAAGTCCAGAGTCCTTTACCTAATACTCGTGGCTTTGCTCAGTCCAGCCACTACTTATCTTTCCGGCTGATTCTGACACTCAGAAAGAACTACAGTACTCTTGACTCCTACAAACCCATCATCCGTCAGTTTCCTGCACGGGCTGCTCCGTGTGCCTGGAATGCCTGGGCCCCTCTCTCTCGAATCCCCGCCTCACAGCATCTCGCACCCGAGCTCCCAGCCACGGTCTCCGAGCCCCGCCCCCGCCCCCGC